TGTGTGTGTGTGTGTATATATATATATATATATATATATATTTTGTGTAATGATGTAAATCATAAGCCTGTCTTCTGTTTCAGATATAGTCGGGCTTACCTCCATGCTCTGTTTAAGAGTGACACTGCAGCCATGCATTACATCACCATCCACAACATCGCCTACCAGGTCAGTACGTAACAGTTAACGTCACATCATAACTCGAGATGACATCATGATTAAACAACAAAAAACATTTGACCACGTATCAAAATATAAAAAAGAAGATATATCTCAACTGTATGAAGTGTGCCGTTATGAGTTCATTCATTTCCTGCGTTAATCCGCAATCCTGCCACTGAGAGTTATCAACCAGAGCCACAAGTTTACATCATGCGTTTCAAGTCTTTATCGCTCTGACAGAATTCTGACAAGAGATGTTGAACTTTATGAAAGTATGCGACATCATTCAGATTATGTCGTCGCCTCGGTCATTTAATGCTTCAGTAGTCTCTGTAGCTGAAAGTGGCACAAACTCGCTTTGCTGCTCTGGCATTATCAAAACCATGAAGAGTCTCCTCTTGTGACAGATGTGTCCCGAAACATAATGTTCATGTTAGGAGAGCATGATGTCTGATTATGCAACATATTCATCTCTTGATTTCTTAAAAGTTTTTCACATTTAAGCCAGCTCTTAAGTTGACGTATAGGGCTTTCCATGTTGGGCCGCCACTCTACCGTGAAATGTCACAAGTATTTAACATTTACATGTTACCCTCTAATGTTACCATGGTGGAATGTAAACATTCTTGCTGAAGACCCGTGCACTCTCATGTTGCAGAAGACAAGACGATGTCCCACTGCAGATTAATAATCGCATTATTTTCCTTTTCAATCATCAAACATGTCTCTTTGCAGCTCACCCTGATGCGCTCTGTGAGACGGAGCATCGTGGACGGCTGCTTCCCCGAGTTCATACGGACATTCATGAAGCGAATGTTTCCCTCTCGGGACCAGTACCCCGGCTGGGCCGTGGACGCTCTGGCCTCCGTCGACGTTACGTTGGAATAGATCTTGGAAGGCAGCCGTCGTGCTCTCAGTGGGGCTGTCAAAGACTGACTGAAAGATTTTTAAATGACTTTTTTTATGAGTGATTGTTTGTTGTTTTTACTCTTTGTTTATATTTGTATATAAATTGCCAGTTTTGTTGGCGATGAGGAAAATGTCTTTTGGTCTGAAGGCATAACGCCTGATTGTCTTTTGCGTCACTCAGCCGCTGCAAACTGTCCTCGGTACACATTACGATGATGTGAGACTGAATGGGGTTTGAATGAGGTTTGAAACACGTGAACTATCTCCTCTGATATGCTCAGACACTTTTTGTTGTTACCATGGCTACAGAGCTATAGGCCCACCCACTTGAAATTAAATGTTTCGCCTTTCCGTCAACCTGGTATTTCATTTTTCCAAAGGCACAGGATGATTAAACGTATTTGTATTCAGGTGTTTTAACCGACGTCCTCACGGACATGTGGTTGTCAGATAACTGAACGGATAAATAAGTCCATCACGACCGCTTGTGTGCTTTGTGTCATGATGACCACCAGAGGGCAAAACCAGAGCAAAGAGACTGTAAAACTGAATGATATGCTATGAATTTTTTTCCGAATAGAGTTAAAAGCAGTTCAGCTGTCTCGAAGTAGAAATCGCATACGATAACGGTGAGATATGAGCTCAAATGTAGGAGGGCACACAACATCCATATCCAAATTATTCACAACCTTAACTCGGCGTGCATTTAAATACTATCAACTCATTCTTATCCATTGTTATTCTGCCCTTTCTCATCCGTTGAATGGGCAATAAGCCACTTTCACCCTCTGAGTGAAGGTTTTGTTTGGAGCTTACAGAGGTGCTGCTTTATCAAGGCTCCGTTGTGGGTGATTAATATTTATCATTGGAAGTTGATTTGAATAACACCTGTTGTCTGTGGCTTTGAGTCAACAGTCCTCACAAGCACCACATTTTAATTTCATTACGGTGTCAGTTATGACCAAAGGCTCCACGAGATTAAACCTGTGACATGTAGTGAGTGTCAGGCCATCTAATATCTAACACAACACTGTGGTAAATAAATGATGTGTTTGGTGAATAACAAGTGTTAACGCCCTTAAACACAAGTGTTTGTTCATTAGTTAAAATGAGAGATGACTGAAATGTTCATTTTATATTTTAATAGCCCTCTTTCAGAAGAACTTCTAGTTTTGTACATAATGCTTGTATTGTTTTCAAATGTATCACTGGTTACGTTTCATGCATGAGAAGAGGTGTTTTAGAATAAATAGAATATCTTCTGATTTAACTGTGTGTTTCATTTCTTTATCTGTCAGAGCAACAGCGTTTAGTTGACAATATGCACTAAATACATTGGATGTATCCTCGTGTATAGCCTTCTTTAGCAAGGCGTGTCATGCGTGCCTCCTTAAACTGCTATTATTAATTATCGTCTTAGCTCTCCGTGCGGAAATAATCGATGTACGTGATCGTTGTTCAGATGCGCGCACGTCTCCACAGAAGTATGGGCATCACGCGAATGTGTGACAGTTTATCATTCAGGATTACAGTAGCTATTATGTCAACAGAGAACGCTTATTGTACAATTTTATAGATTTTTTTTTGCGTGTATTGTTTTTGAAATTGTTGCTTTTTTTTGCGATTCCTGAAATGAAAAGTCGTCGCAACAGAACAGTAGTCCCCAGCGGCTGGTTACACATTTGCTGCCAGTGCATCCAAGCGGAGCTCAGGCAGGGAGGATGCTGGTGTTGAGAGACAACCAGTTGCTCTCCAGCTGTCACTGTAAAAGTGGAGCCTCCCCCCATACGCACCGACGGATGAACATCCTCGACCTGTTGCCTCGGTGGCAAGAAAAGTAGAGCTGCGTTGTGACGGGTGCCAAAAAACAAAGAAGAGTTGTTGTTTTTTTCTGTTGAGGAGGGAGGTCGAAAACGATGCCATGAGGTGTATCAATGCATTCGTTATTAATGTACATTTTGAATAGCAGAAGGAAGAGGAACGGAGTTGGTTTTGGGGGGTTCCACCTCTTCGGTGTGGAGGTGCGGTTTGCGGTGATATCTGTCTCTATCTCTGGGCTCTGAGGAGAAAGACCATGGTCGAACTGGAAAAGGAGGTGCTCCCGCTGCCCCCTCGGTACCGGTTCCGAGACCTGTTGCTCGGGGACTGGCAGACCGACGACAGGTAAGGATGCTTGCATCGTTTACGCACGGCGCACTGAATCCGTTGCGCATCTGTGCGCTATAAGAGCATCATATCATCTCGTCTATAAAGTGCACATGTGTTTGCAATTTCTCTCTGTGATCTCGTTGATTCATGTGTATGCGTGTGTTGGAGTAATCTACTGCCTGCTGTGCAGTGCTGAATGCAACAGGTTTACTCGTTCCCCTGTGTGCGCGGAAACGGCTGCTGCTAATGCTGCTAATTCTACATTATCCCACCAAAAGAAAACACATCTAAAAGAAAACCTAAGGAGAATGAGAGACTGATTCACTGAGGAATATGTATTTCATTTACTTTCATGCCATGTAGGTGGCGCATCTCACAAGTGTATATTTGAAACATGAAAACAAGATTTGAAAGCATCCACCAGGATTGGAATGAAGAACGAGCAAGGCAGTATGTTACTCTATTTATGTTCTCCTCCCATAATTGCTGAAATTCGCCGATCCATCTGCCACCTGGACAGACAATGTCAAGTGGGTGCCCTTAGTTATTAACCTTTTGATTCTCCATTTGCAGGGCAGAAGATTTGAAATGCTATATGATATGCATTGCTTGATTTGGCTCATTTCATTATGCTGTGTAATAGAAAACCTTAAACCTCAATTTCATGCTCGGCATCGCTTGTTGCTAGGTGGAAATGGGGACCAAAACACTTGCTTGTGGACTTGACTGGGTGTTTCGAATCAGATAATTGGGCCAACTTGCCATTGAAAGCATGGAGGTGTTCAATCTGGGTTCAGCCATTGCCAGGCTTCACTACAGAGAAACTGCTGCATGCTAACCGTTAATAATGAATATTATTCAAAACTATCAAGCATTGTCCATTTTTTAATCAATCATACCATTACAGTGTGTATCCGTATCCCTTTTGCACAGCTGCAGCCCACACAGGCCTTCTCTCTCCCGTCGCGCTCTTCTGGCCTTTTGTAATTTTTCCGCTTTTTCCCAAGGACTAATGTTTCTGAACCAGAGTTCCGCGTGACCTCAGTCACCTGATTACAGAGGTTCAATGAAAGGGGGGTCCCTGCTTGTTACACAAAAGGACTTTTATAATCCAAGCTCCTCATCCTCTAAAAGAGGCGAGAAAAAGATACAAGTTTACAGCAACATGGATAATGTACTCTCTGAGGTTTAAATTAAACTTGTGTGGGCTGTGTATGTTCCATTTATTTTTATCAAATTGCAGAGCTATAATGTCAAGTGCAGTGTTTCATATCGATCTTAATTATGAGCCTTTGTATAGACTATAGACATTTAGTCCTTTGTATTTCTGTGTGTGTGTGTGTGTGTGTTTGTGTGTGTTTACAGCTCAATCTATGTGTGCGCGTGTGTCTGAGCATCCGCTTTATACAAACGCCGCTTGTGAGAGAGCGAGAGAGTGATTGACAGAGGATCATGATGTTGATCCCATTGCCCAGGGATTATTAGCTGCTCTAAAATGGTCTGATTAGAGGGAAAGCCAGAGTTGTTATTGATAGTGACAGAAAGCTTAATTGGGGCTGAATCACACAGAGTTTGTCTGCTGTGGTCTATTAATCCAGGAGTTGCTTTAAGCGACCAGACGTTTCCAATGGGCGCAGGTGCACAGATGGATACAGTATCAACGCATCCCAGCACAGACACACTCACACGCATCAAAATGTCAACATGTGTTCGCATAACTTATCTCCTTGACACATATGGTGGCACTCTGCTCTGGGGAAGCATGCATTTCTGAGCCTTATAATCCCTCTTCTGTCATCCTCTGTAGGTCGCTTCCCTGTTGCCCTCTCATCTCAGCTGAGTCTGTGTCCATGCGTATCGCCCCCCCCCCCCCCCCCCCACACACACACACACACGTCATAGTTCTAATTGAAGTGCCTCCACTACCATACCATTTTCCTCTTTAAAGAGCTCTCCTGTAACTCAGTGGAATACATTTAGTTGAAGCCATTGAAAGCCTCTCGGGTGTGGCAATTTTCAGCGCAGACGTGATGGGAAATGATTTAATAATTTAATTCACACACAAAAGATTCCAATCTTTTGTCACCTGAGTGTTACTGACTGTTATTACCGATACCTCCCTTTTCTACCTCTGACAGTGTTTTTCTTTATTGTTAGTGGACCTGTGTGTGTGTGTGTGTGTGTGCTTGAGTGAGTTGGGGTTGCCCCCCTGACCTTCAAGTGTATATTCATAAATAGTATATACTTTCTAATTTGTCTAAAACACACACAAATGCAAACATGTTGGACTTTGTCCTTGGCACTCCAGCATTGGCTGCATATAAATTGTCTCAAATTAGAATAAACATAAATGAAAATTGACTCCGTTTACTCGCACACAGGAAACGAGCCTTCTCTCCGAGACAGAATTTGAATTGGGCTCTGCTCTAAGTTTGCAAACAACTGCCAATTATCCTCATCTGTGTAGTTCCCGAATCCATAACCTCAAACAAGGTTGTGGCTGACAAAATGAATGTGTCGAGATCAAATAAGTAGCAACGTTTTAGTGAAACCGTTCTCACTCCGACAACATTTACATTTTCTGGCAGTATGTCAGAGGCTTCTGATTTGAGGATATGCCAGATGACTAAACAATTAAATCCAGATATTTTGCAGGCTGATGATTACGATTTTTATATCGTAATCATTCGTAAAATTAATGAGGAGGCAAAGGGAATAGCTTGGGGATTAAGGATGGCGGAGAGACAGAGACAGAGACTGAGCGAGAGACGATGTGGAGGCGACAGCCAATAAGACATTGTTTTAATGAAAAAAAGGCCGTCATTTGTATGATAATCCTGGACTCTGAGGAAAGCTCCCGCTGAGGCTTTCTGTTGAGCAGCAATGGTGACTCTGTTGTTCTGCATTTCATTTCACTTGTAACTAAATATGCATACACGCTGTGCTGGCAGTCACGTGTGTGTTTATAGTATGTATAGTATAGTAAGTGTT